TACTCCCTGGCTAAACACTCTAAAAATCCCTCAGCCTCCACCAGGAAAGTACTCGTTCCAAAGGAAAACCTTCTTCCCAGCCTCCTGAACAAGTAGACCTAGGGTCCGACCACTCAGAAGGTTTTGCCTCCTCTTAGGCAGAACTCTCAGATCATTCTCATCCTCTAGGAGAAAAAGCCCTAGGAAAAAGGCCTTTGGAAGAACCTCCTGAATCCTTTACTAAAAAGAAATCCAAAATAGATCTTTCAAGTTCCTTAGAATCTGACCTAAATTTCTGGGATTCTCCAAACATGGATATTTTCATTGATCTGAAATACAAACCAATCGCTCGTGGAAGAGTAGTCGACCTTGATGACATAGAAGTCCTAAACTATAAGGTAAAGAATTTGTTTGTTTATCAAGGTTGGTCAAAATTTCTCTCTATTCCCCTTCCTAAAGTCTATGAACCCTTGGTGAGAATGTTTTATGCCAATTTCCGCTCTAGTAAGTCTGACAAGTTGGAATGCTTAGTGTTAGGAAAGCGCATCGTTCTTGATTGTGCCATGTTTGACTCAATTTTTCAATGTAAGTGTTCTGGTTTTCCCATGCTTTTCAAAAATTCTTGGCCTGATGACTTTGAAATCACCTTTGATCAAGCAAAACGTCGTATTGATGAGTGTTCATCTGAATCCCTCCCTAACCAGTTAGGTCCAAGTGATGTTAGCTTTGAAACTCGTGTTCTAGCCCACATTGTTGCAACTACTCTCTGCTCCCTCGTACTGGCTCTTTCTCCACCTTCTCTCAACGAGATACCTTTCTTGTATATTGCCTTGTGACCAAACTCAAGATCAAACTGTCCTCCTGGGTCATAAATTTTATGATTGAAAGTACTGATGATCCCACTAGTCTGCCCTATGGCATGACCATCACTCATATTCTAGAAGCTCACAATATCTCTGTCTCTGAATATCCCTTCGTCTCTGTCTCAAAATCTTACAATTCTAGAGCGTTTGCTAGTACGGGGTATGTGTGTATGAAGGGCTCCTGGGTTAAGAAACAGGAAGGTGAAGTCAAGCATGTTTAACCTGATCCCAAGACCAAAGCCTCTGTTTCCCATCACAGCTTAGTAATCCTGACCTTGCTGAGAAATTGACTGCCATTGACAACCAGCTGAACACCATCAAAGATCTCCTTGCTGCTACTCAGTCCACTGTTGGGGACATACGTGCAATCTCCAAAGAGACAGGGTCTGATGTTTCAAAGATAAGGGTTGCAATTCTCCGAGTTAGGGAAAACGCAGTCAAGGTATTCAAGGAAGTACATGACAGGCTTGATGGAGTGATAGTCTCAGCTAATGCCAGCTTTGAACAACTGAAGGAGGTGATTTGCAACACTCTTACTTATTTCTTGCGTCGTTAGTATGGAAGTTTCAAATAATTTTTTTGCTGTGCTATTTTGGACTGGAGAATCGCTCGTTGGATGATTTCTTTTACTTTGTTTTGCTATAACTCCGCATGTTTTGGACTATATATTCTGATTTAGTATCTGGTGTATTTTTATCCCCTCTTTGCTGATGTCAAAAAAGGGGGAGAAGGCTATACATATATTCGTGCAAGTATATCCATTGCAGGGGGAGTCGACTATAGATCCTACAGGAGAAGTCGACTAAAAGAAGTAGTCCCAACGACACCCATTGAGGGGGAGTCAACTGCACTCATTGAGGGGGAGTAAAATATAGGAAAGTCAACTGGTGTTTATATATATATATATATATATAAATTTTTGCCATCATCAAAAAGGAAAAGATTGTTACGTTTAAATTTTAATGATGAAAAATAATATAATTGATATTGGTGTAGGGACTCAAGGAAATCAACCAAGATTGAAGTGCAAAATGAAAAGCAATCAACGTTGAAGGAAGAAATCAATCAGAGATTGATTGAAGCATTCAAAAGGATTGATTGAAGAAATCAAAGGAAAGGAATCATCGATAAAAAGGAAAAGAAGCACTGAAGATCCGACAAGATAATGTAAAAGTTAAACCCATTACATTTAAAAATAAGCAATTCATCCCCCCCCCCCCCTCGTACTTTCAAGCTATCCTAGTTTACCTTCTTATGTGAACCTTCTCTATAAAAAAGTTATAAAAACTTACAAACATTCTAAGTATTAGCAACAAGTAACTTAACCAAAAGAGGACAACCTATCATAAAAAATAGTTTTTTCTATGTTTATGTGTTAGAGAGGCCATTTGAATCAAATCCAACCTGTATGTCTTAGAGAGGCCATGCCAATCGGCATCCCGAACGGTTGTGTCCGTACCATTTTATCTTTTATCATCAGGACCAGCAAATCATTTTGTTGTAGACAACCACATTACTCAACCAATATACTTAGTTGATTTCGTGTACTACATCTTTACATTTATTTTCGTTGATATTTTTTACTACGTATTGGCTTATAAAACTCCAACTTCACCTTCCATTCGGATGTATTTTGATTATTGCTTTTCATAAGGGGTTTTGTAGTGTGATTTTCAATAATATGGTTGTTCCTTCTCAAACATATTATTCTGATATCCTGATACATTTGTTGTATCTACTCGTCCTTCCAAGCCTTTTGCTTGCTTATACAATATTGAAGGAGCGAATTATATGGGCACATTGCCTGCTTTAATAGTGCAGATTTATGAGAGGAAGAAGCTTATGGAATTTGTCATGGGATCGATGTGGTCTATTATTTTTCAGTTTAGCTTCAGATTCACTTTTACTGTTCAGATGGTCTCTTTATTGTTCTGGGTGGCGGCTTGGATTGGTAATGCGGCTATGGTTCAGCCTGCCACCGATTTTGGGGTCCTAAATTTTTTGCTCGTTGTTGTATCATTGAGTTGTGCTATGAATATTTTCCAGCTACGTGTGTATACTTGGTTTGTGTTCGCAGCGTGTTTCTTGCTCTACATTCTTTATTGAAAATTAGATGCACTAACTCTTAGATACGAACAACTATTTAGTACTTGATTTATTAAGTAAAACCTTGATAAATGGTCTCAAGTATATTTAATAAAACTAGCTTCTGCGTGCGCCGTACGTGCATATCCCGTGCATCTTGTGTCAATTAGTAAAAAATAAATTAAAATCACACACACACACACACACATATATATGTATGTGTGTGTGTGTGTGTATATACACACACACACATATAGAGAGGGAGAGATAGAGAGCTTCTTCTTGCGTTGTACGTGCATATCTCGTGCATCTAGTATCAATTAGTAAAAAAAAATTAAAATCACACACACGCACACGGTATAAGGAGACCGTCTAAGCAGTATTGGATATATGGGCTAATATCTAGTGAGTAATATATATTGAACTTATTAGATTGAGCATATGAGTAATGCGCTAATGTCTGATGGGTAGTCGAGTAGGGCTAAATATCAGATTATAAGATTTTCGTAATTCGAATATTCAAAATTTTGAAGTTTCAAATCTGAATCCAATCTATCCGAAAATTCAAATTAAATACTCATTCGGATTGGATTTCGGTTCAGATTTTGAGTTTATCCAAATGATGCACACCCCTAATCCTCGTCGTCATCATATTCATCATCATTATCTTCCATGAAGCTTTTTTGAGTAAAATAATTTGTTTTCTCTCTGAGCAGGGACAGGTATGCTATGGTATGAGGCCCGACGCCTAAATATTAAAATATTTTTTGGGGCACTGATGCTATTAGCTTTCGGTAAAGCTGGTCGAGATATTTCTTTGAAAGCATTTCTTGTTGACCAACTGCGGAAGAACATGGAGGAATCGAAGCTCGAACACCTTTCAAAAGCAAATCCAACAGCTAGCTGAATAGTTTCCTGGGGTGCACGTATACTATTACGGAAATCTTTAAGTGAACCACTTTGTAAAGAGGACCACGAAAAAATAAGTATAGAATTATGACGAAGACTTAGCTGGAGATGTAGCCGGATTATAGGTATATTTTTGGCTGCATTCCTCTCAAATCAAGAGTGGGAGTGGCTTACAAAGATATGTACTTTTGCAATAGTGGGGGAGTTGCTATATTCTTGTTGGGCTTCCCATTTTATGAATGTATTAGGGAGCTCCCTTCTTTATGTCTTTAAGATTGTTAAAGCGGAAATATCAAAGAGGCATCTGAATTACCCAGTCTCTCATCATCAGTTCAAAAATGACACTACCGATACAGAGATTCTTTCTCGCATGCATTCCTCAGGTACATTATAATGTAATACGTACCTAAACTTAACTCCCTATTGATTAGTTGTTACAAATACAGTAGTACGTCCTTAATTTTGTATAACCATATGATAGGCGATATCTACTGACTCAAACGTATGTGAATCATCCGTCTTATAGCATATAATTTTTTTTTGTGTAGATGGTTAGACAAGGCAGCCATACTGGAGGCGTCGTCCCCTTCACGTTTAGAATCAACCGAGCAAGAAAACATGGTGGGCAGACGGCTTTTTGAGGTAGCAAAAGTGAGGGAAGTGAAACACTTCTTAAAGATGCTCCCGTTGTGGTCAACATTTCTTGTTTACAGTCTTGTTAGGGCTAGGAGCTTTTCGTGTAAAGCAATGTCACTTCACTTTATTTATATATTATTCTTTGCATATTATATTCAGTAAAAAATTTCTGACCAAGTGGCGTTGGACACATGCGAAGCAAAAGGGTTGTTTCACAATTCAATCCTTTTCCCCAAATTGTGCAAACCAGAAACAAGCAATCCATACTAAAAAAGTGATCAATCACTCCACTACTTCACTAATTTGTTTTAATATTATTTCATCAAGAACACATTTTAAAATAATTAGCTTAAAAAATAGTTGACCACTCAATCACTTAAACTAAAAAAAATCGAGAAATATATAATATATTATTTGTATAGTTATGTATAATCGTTATATACTGGCTAGAAAAACAAATAGTGAAACCCAGTGGCTATTAAAGTAAAGATGCTATATTTTAAAGTACATCTCATAAAATTTATGCGAGTACTGTTTAATAAAACTAACGACACTCCAACCGACGCGTGTCCTTCATAAGGTTTTAGGGTTTTAGTAAATTCAATTCAATTTCGGATTTAATCAAATGATAAGCATCTGCTAATTTGCTGAGAAGATTCGGTTTATCACCTCAATCACTTACTGCTACTCCAATCTAAAGAAGTTCCCCAATTTTACTATCCAAAGCTGGTAAAGTTTGAATTTTTTGTAACTTTCTGTTCATTAGGATAAATATCTGATTTTTTTCACGTTAAATTATGTTCAATGATTACGATTTGCATTTGGGCATTTTTACAATGTAGAATAAGATACTTTACTCTGTCCCAGTTTATGCGATACTGTTTCCTTTTTAGTTTGTTGACACATTTCTATATTTAGAAATAATTTAACTTTAAACTTTCCATTTTATCCTTGATTTATAGCCATGTAAATTACTATGGTTAAACTTCTGCCCAGTTAAAGTGCATCAGATAAATTGGGACGGAAGGAATGTATAGTTATAAGAATTCTAATTTGCTGACATATGGTATCAATTTCTATATTTATGCATAGTTATGAAACTCTAAGATTAATAATTGGGATTGAGGTATAGTTAATTGATTGATTGATTAGTTCTGGAGGGTATATTTCAGACTCATTTCGACGGATTTTTCTGTTTATACAAGCTGGTATTTCACTGCTCTTATGGGGTAATCTGAATATTAAATTGTTGTTTTAAACTGCTCAGTTTTCAGTTTGTTTATTGATGTCCTATGTCTATATTTTAGCATGCATCGTATTTATTTATATACAATATATGTCCGCAGTGGCGAAGCCAGAAATTTCCCCAAAGGTGTTCACTGTTCAGACTTGAAAGAAGTAAAAAAAAATTCCGACAAAGGGTGTTCAATACATGTTATATACATCTAAAATCAATATTTTACTTATACAGACAATGTAATTTTTCGTAATATTTCGACGAAAGTTGGTCAATTGACCACCCTTAGCAAAAGGTGGCTTCGCCCCTGCATGTCCATTGTATCGAATACCAAATTCTTTTAGCAAGAAAGACGTCCACCTGTTATCATATGTTCATATTTTAACTCCTTTTCAATTTCTACAAGTTATTAAATTGAACTGAAAGAGCGACACCCGTTTTCTACATTCTTCTTAAATATGTCGAGCTATAATTGAGGATGGAAGAGAGTTCTAGAGGTTTATTGTTTATAAATGTCAATCTTGTCATACCACATAATTTCCTTATTTTTTCTTTCTTTTTCACGTATTGAGGGCCTCACTTTGCTGGCCATTGATTTCTGCATTTTGACTCAACATTCTAAAATTAACATCTTAAAGTAAGGATCCCCATATTTAGACACTATTATTCAAGTGTTCGGTATATGCATATGTGTGTTGCCTAGTCTGCTTGAATGATCTTTCCTAGTTCTTTGCTCTTGATCTTTTCTCTTTTATACTTTTGGGTCTTTAGCTGTTTCTTTAGTGAATTTAGCTCACAAATGTGTGATTTGAGGTGTTTACTAGTGATATCGAGATGGTTTGAAGTTATTGCTTCTCATTTTCCCTACAAGTAACAGGCATGCAAGCCTCCTATGTTATCACTGATACTTTGGTATTTATCTTTACAATTCAATTGATGTTCATACTCTCTGAACTTGCAGTAGTAATTCTATTCAACCAGGGAAAACTTGAGGAATTGAAGTAGTCGAGAATGGAGGTTGCGGAGTTGGAGCTGTTACTGACGGCCTTTGAATCTGCTTTGTCCCAAATCAAATGGCGTCTCAAACTTCCATCTAAGCGTCGCCTTCAAACAGATATTTTGGCCTTATGCACTGAGATGAGGCCAGTTGTAATGGTGGACTATGGAGGGAAGATGCCTGAACTGCAAGACCGGCTCTCTGCATTCCTTAAACATTGCCAAGAGGACTGCTCAGTATTTAAGCCTTTGCATGTTATGGTTATAGAAGATATGATATACTTGGTTCATGCACGAGCATTTGCAGAGTTTGTTAAGTCTAGTTTGGACTTGGAGACGAGGTTGATCTTTGTAGACCTTGAACAGGATCCTCCAAAGATGATAAAACAAGCGGAAGAAAGCTCTGTGGGCGCAGAACTTGTATTGGCACAAAAGATATTTTCATCTGTCTTTTCTGAAGATGGAATAAAGACTGATCACTTGGAACATCAGAAACCAGAAGTTAGAGCAAACACTGACTCCTCTGTTTATGAGCCAACTTCTTCACAGTCTTCTGAAGTAATTGATCTCAGTGATTGCATTAGAGAAACTCATGTTACAATCCCAACTCTAAATGGATGGCTGCTTGGTTATCCTATAGTTTACCTATTTGGGATGGCTCATATTGAACCCGCCATATATAACCTTTCGACAAAGTCTCTTCATCTTTTCCAAGTCCTTGTTTGCAGGTGCAATAGAGGATCTCAGGCTCAAATAGAGGAACTAATGAGTTTCTCCGTGCCATATGACTTGAGCTTGGAGGGAATGAATGAGCCATGGGCAGAGGCATTTTTGACTCATATAAAGACAAAGCAAGAACGGTTCGACCAAGTTTGGACATCCTTAAAGATGGAGGTTAGAGCTTGTTACCCACAAGCAATTGCGTTATAGTAAGTTGCTAGTAACTGATGTCAAGTTAATACTCCAAAAAATTCAAAATTATTGCTAATGCCATGGCTGCCAAGTATTTTTGAATCACCAAGTACATTGATTATTTGGAAAGTGACAGTCTTCAATGTGCATTTTTGCACGTTAGTTGTTTTGATCCCAATGTGCACTATATGGATCCTTTACCTTCATTGTGTTGTGTTCGTCGTCGAATCCAAATTGATTTTGAGTGAGTTTTTTTTAGGTCTTTTAAGACACCATTCCTCCATGTGAGTTTAGGTCTACCTCGTCTCCTTTCATCACCTTTAATGACCATATTGTTGCACCTATAGGCCGATGAATCCGTAGGTCTACTTAGGATATGGCAAAACTATCTCATGTGACCTCTTAAATTATCCTAAACGCGTGCTATTTGCTCCCTATTTGGATGTGACATTTATAATTTTATCTACTCTCAACTTCACATTCATCTTAATATCTGTATTTATGTGACAATCATCTTAAGATTTAGAGGTCCAACGCTCACTCGATTTAACATAAGTGTTAAAACTGTTCTACAAAGCTACTCACCACATACGCAGCCACTTTGATAGGATGCACAGTTATTGCCTATATAGAAGACAACCTCAGTTGGAAAGTTGGATTTTATCTCTGTGTAGCTGTCCATTTTCTTGGTTTAGTTGTTTTCTTAGCCGGAAGCTGCTTTTACTATTATGCTTAGATCGAAGGTAAAACCGGGGGAGAATGACTAATGTCTATTGGGTTGTTTGCTGTGATCGGAGTGTTGAACTTTGGTTATTATTTACTATGTGTTTGGTTTTACAAGAAACAAATTGGGAAGAAGGGAGTTGATCATGATGCATCTGGGGTGTTTCCTATAATTTATTTTAGCAAATGCCTCTATTATGTAGCTCTTAGTTTTGTGTTATTTTCGTTTTTCTATTTCTTTGACCTCTTGAAATTAGATAATTTTGGTGTATATTTACAACAACAACAACAAGAACAAACCCAGTGAGTTTCCACAAGTGGGGTCGGAGAGGGTAGGATGTACGCAGCCTTAACCTTACCCCTACCCTGGAAGGGCAGAGAGGTTGTTTCCGATAGACCCTCGACTATTATGGTGTATATTTATTTTGAGTATACTTTTAATTCATGAATGCACTCCAAGAGAACAATATGAAAGAAAAAGAGACACAAGGATAAAAGTAACAATATTTTAGCATCAAAGTATAGATACTACTAATAATAATAATAATTCCAACAAAAAATAAATAACACCTTGTTACAATAATGATCTAATTGCAACTGTACAATAAACCAATAGTACTGAAAAATGGATAGAAACACAAAATTTATACTCATCAAAGACTAATTAATCAACGAAAGACAAAATTCTTTTAACAAAATCTTTACTCAGGACAATTTCTCTTGAAGAAGCTCATCACATGAAGCTTTTAATCTCTTTACTTCATTAACTAAACCATCGTGCTTTTCTTCAAGTTCCTCTAATCTTTTTGCAATTGGCAATGGTTGAGATAACTCATTATTTGACATTAAAAATACCTCAGGCTGAGCCAAATATTGCGCATAAACTGGTTCGAACATCTCTTCAAATTTACCAAGTAATACTTGTGCCATAGTATAAATATCACTACCCTTTGGATTATAAATTATGGCATTGTTGGATGTTAATCTCACATCATCTGCAAATTCTTCTGGTGTTTTGTACTCATCTCTCTTCAGCTTTAATTTCACAGTTCCAAGATCCATAAGTTGTGTTATTATATCGTAATAATCGTCGAGATTAAATGATGTTTACGATATAATACCCATCCAAAATGATGTTTCAATAATTTCCTCAATATTGTTTGGCACTTGATCTTCATAATTGTACTTGATTTAGCTTTATCCCCTTCAATAATATCATCATTTGAAGCTAACGTGAACTCTCGTTTTTTACCAGAGAGATTCTTGTTATTGTTCTTGTTCTTGCTATTTTCACCAATTAATTCAAGAGTCTGATCATAATTTCCACTGAGATTTGATTCTGCCAATTTATCGTTCTCTGTTTCTTTTTCAATGTTTATGTGAGTGAATTTGTTTTCACTTACATTATTGAAATTTGAAGCTTGTTTGCTCTGATCACTGCAATCTTCACTCTTATCTTTTTTCTGCACATATAATCAAAGATCAAACACTAGTTAGAAATTCGTATTACCAATGCAAGAAAAAGGTGGAAGGAAAAGAATATAATTTCATTTAAATACATGAATTTTCAATTCCTAATTTAATCGAACTTGTCATTATTAATTAATAAAAGATAGATATCAATGTAAATGATCAGTGACGCATCCAAGATTTTTAATAGAAGGATTTGAAATAATGTTAGAATGTAATTTAAACATACAACTTAATGCATTTTTTGAACCACCCTTACCATTACAGTAATATTTTTTTGTCTCGAGGGATTATACAAATTAATTAGATATAAAGCATTATTTGAACCACCCTTATCATCACTACTAGTTTTTGTGTTGAGGGATCATACAAAAAATGAGATATATTTTTTGTGATTTCGTGACAATTGCAAATACTAACATATTATTATGTGCAAAGAAAGAATCAAAGAGCCATTAATATGCAAAGGGAGAAAAAGCGCAATTTACATCTTGTTCAAATGTTTATTATATATCATTTCATAATATATCGTATTATATTGTATTTTATCGTACTGTATTATTTTGATGAATACAACATTTGGATAGATTATATTGTTTTCCGTTATTTCATGATGTCATGCACCAATAATATAAAGAGTAAAACTTAAAATATTATAAAGAAAATATATGATACAAGGTAGAATTAATATATAAAAAGGTAGGGTAAAAAATATAATTTAATAATAAGGAAGAGCAAGATGAGAGTAAAAATAAGATAATGACGTGATCACATAAAATGACACTTTTCATCGTTATATAACTACAGATTTGATGATACGACACAATAATCTTTTTAGTAAATATCAAAACAAACATCGTAGTTAAAGTAACAATACAATACAATAGGTGACAACCATCCAGTTAAAGACAATTAATGAATTGTAAATTCAATTAGGCCTACCGAAAACCAAAGAATCCGTTGTACCTCTTCACTTAAAACTTGCATCAATCCCATTATTCTCTTTCTCTCTGAAAATTTTTAAAGAAGAGGAAGAAAGAATAAAACGATTATAGCAAACACAAAATACATAACAAATATATATAGAAGTTATGTTTTTAGAAGCCTAGTTGAAGTAGGATACGTAATTGAGCTCTTAAAATAATAATCCCAACTGGAATAGGGAACAAAATATTTCGTCCCCTTTTTTCTCCTTTTTACTTTTTTTTTTTTTTTTTTTTTTGTGGTTTTATAAAAAGAGTTCTTTATCCTAAATACCTACGATATAGCTACAGATACACCTATTCAATGTCAAAATCAAACACCTAAATCAGTTGTATAATAGAAATTTACACAGATATTAAAGTTATTTTATATCTTAAAATCAATCACGAAACAACCTACATAACGAAAATCATAGAGAAAAAAGGGTGTACACATAAATCCAGATAATAAAAAGTTAAATTGAAATAAAATATTTAATAAATGTTTATAATTTAATATTATTAATGAAAAATAAGAATAATATAAGTTTAAAAAAAATACATGAATAGTATTACTACTGAATGATCTATTTATGAAGTAATTAGTGCCAATTTCTTATTTAAGAATTTGAAAATACATCTTACATAACTTTGTCTTTTCTGAATTCCACTTTAACAAAAGATTTTATCTTCTGGGGAGGAGAAAAAAAATATCACAACACGTCTGAAGGAAAATTTAGCGAAAAAAGAAAGTTTAAAAAGTATAAGTAAGGGGATATCCTAGTCAAATTAAAAAAAAGTGACTTTAAACATTTTTCTTTATTTTTTCTTTTTCTTTTTTCCTTTTTGTCTTTTTCTTTTCTTTCTCCTTTATCAGAGAGAAATTTTTTTTAAAATTAATAATATCAGTTTGGAATATGTCCCAAGAACAACCGATTAACATGTTTTTTAATAGTGAATTAGTCAATAGCTATCTTCTCCTATTATTTAGGAAGTAGTTGTAAAGTTGCCTATAAATATGTTACTATTCACATAATATTAGAATATACCACTTCAAGCTGTTACTACTACTCTACTGATAAAGTATTAACATTAATTCATATGTTCTTGATTTTATTTCTCACCTTCATACATCAAATATACTATTAGAACCATAATAGTTTCTCAAAATGAGGAAACAAAGCTACTACTATTCAGTTCTGTTCATGTTTGGATCACTTCTCTATTTGCCTCTATTGATGAATGCAACTTCCATAAGTCCTCAGGAAGCAGGTAATTACATACATATCCTACTGTCAAAGGCGGATCTAATACGGGTTGCGGACTAAGACGGGTTTTGTGGGTTCAACTGAATCCGTTGCTTTCGAATTACATTACAGATAAAAAGAAAAATTTAAATGCATACATAAGAAGATATCACTCATTTTGAATCCACCGACTTCAAAGGCAACATCAATAGCAACAACAAAAAACCTACTCTAAAGTAGGGTTTAGAGAGGATAGTGTATACTCAGTCTTATGTATAGAGGCTGTTTTCTATAGTTTTTAATTCTATGGTTCAGGACTCAAGGTTCCAACTACAAAACTCATCATCTTATTTGAGTTGTGAGTTCATAGTTCAATATTTTCAACAATTTCAATCGGTTTTACAAAGATAAATCCTAGTTGAGGCTAAAAGTTATAGGCAAACGAACGCACATCAATTGGCTAGATCTTCCCCTGACTGACTTTAGATCCTGAATTTGCCTCTGTGTTTCTTCTATCCATGAATTGATTTGATCTTGACATTAATTTGATCTTTTTTGATTTTGTGATGTAGAAAATCATGATGTGGAGTTTCATTATAGGGAAGGGCATGAGAAAGGTCCAAGTAAATGGGGAGAGCTAAAGAGAGAATGGGAAGCTTGTAAAAATGGGAAGATGCAGTCTCCTATTGATATTTCAAGTTATAAAGTGAAAATCATCAAGAAGATTGATCACAAGAAAGTTTACAAGACCTCTAATTCTACTATAAGGAATAGAGGCCATGACATTTCAGTAAGTGTTACAAATATTTTTTTTTTGATAATAAGTATTTAGAACTTTTAGAATCCAGTAGCTTTAACTAATTTTTATTGTTATTTCTTTCTTCTTTTATAAGTGATATCATGAAAAAGATTCAAGGTTACAATCTTAGCATAAATAATTCCTGCCAGTAAATAAATCTTAAACTCTTAGCGAAAAAACTATTGAGGATTGTCCGTGTAAGACAAATTGACAGTGGAAAGTACGCAAGAATTTTTATAAGCGGTATCAACATTTGAAGAAGTGAACAAATGAATAAATCACTATACAATAAGCGTTGTCATTTTTTATATTTATACCAAATAAATAGTGTGACGTGATACCGCTTGACATAAGGTGCCTACGCCCCCTGCTATGCATATAGGTAAAGGGCGGAGGTATAGACGGGCCCTCGTCGAGAAATTATAATGTATATATAAAGTCAAAAAATTTCTTTTATGTATATATAATAGCTGTTGAACCCCTTGGTAAAAATTATGCCTTTGCCGCTATATATAGGTATGTAAAAATTTCAAATTTTCATATTGTATTTTCCTCCCCTTAATTTCATCTCCCTCCCTCTGTCCCCCATCTAGTGATATGAAGAATTTTTTGATCAAATTCAATTTTCACTGACAATAATCTTACATAATTAAATCATGTAATATGCAGTTGAAGTGGCAAGGGGATGCTGGATCCATTTGGATGAATGGTACAGAGTATCCTCTTCAACAAGTTCACTGGCATTCTCCTTCTGAACATACTATCAATGGCAGAAGGTACCAATTAATATGTTAATTACACACACACACATACTAAATTGTAATTAATTGGTAACTTGATAAAAATGGTAGCCACTATGCTATCACAGGTTAAGCTATACAAATGTGCATCTTTTAGGAGCTACTGGCTAGGGCTGATACGTAAATTTTATGCTGTCACTTTGTAGGGAATTCTTACACAAATAATCGATCGGATTTACTGTTTACTTTTTCTAGCCAACATACATGGATTATACATTGATTATAGTATAAAGGCCAGTCCGGTACACTAAGCTCCTGCTATGCGCGGAATTCGGAAAAGGGCCGGACCACTAGGGCCTATTGTATGCAGCCTTACTCTGTATTTCTGCAAGAGGCTGTTTTACACGACTCGAACTCGTGACCTCCTGGTCACATGGTAGCAACTTTATCAGTTACGCCAAAGGCTCCCCTTAATTTGTTACAATATATTTATTACATATTATATATGAACTATACATGTATAATACATCCGCCGACTATTTTTAATTTAAGCGGTTGGATAAGTGGCTATTTAGGATAATTTTTTAATTAGGAGGTTAGTAATACGTAATTGTCATTTAATTATTAATTTTTGACCCTTTTGTCAACTTTCTTTCTGCTATCAATTGAATGATAGGTACCCCTTGGAAATGCATATGGTTCACCAAAGCAATGAGGAGAAGGTGAAAACTAAGATAGGTGTCAATGCTGTCCTTTACAAATTTGGCAAACCAGATCCATTTCTTTTCAAAGTAAGCATTCTTTTGCTATTCACTCCATTTTTGGGCGGAGCTAGGCGGGCGGAAGGGGCTGGACCTTTTTGTCCGAAAATTATACTGTATAAATATAATTGATTTTTTTCTATGTACGTATGTGTGTGTATATTAGATATTGGATACCCTTAGCTTCTTCTTGTATTTATTTTTTTTTATTTTTGTTTTTCGAATTCTCTCGGTGAAAATCGTAATTCCGCCTCTATTTACTTTCAACAAAAAATGACATAATTTGCAATTTATGACTATAGTTGAGGAGGCACATATCATCTATGTTTCATCAAGAAGGTAAAGAGAGGAACTTGGGCAAGATTGATCCAAATTACATAATTAGTAGTCCAAGCAAAAGATTCTATAGGTACATGGGTTCACTCACTACCCCTCCTTGCACCGAAGGTGTCACTTGGATAGTCAACAAGAAGGTACAATTCCACGTTTAAAATTCACAGGACATATTATTATTATTATTATTATTATTATTATTATTATTATTATTATTATTATTATTATTATTATTCATTTTAGGTACAAACTGTTTCAAGAGGTCAAGTGATGTTGCTCCGAGAAGCTGTCCATGATGTAAGTTGCCCTCAACTCTTTATTTTCTTAGCCTCACAATACTACAAAAACTAAACATTTCTATATATTTAAGTTTTTTAATTAATTTTTTTGGAATATTTGTAGTAAATAGAAAATGTTCCTTTCAGTGTGGTGGGATGAATATGATCTTTTTGGTTAAAAATTTCTGATTCAACTCGTGAGAATGGGAAAAAAAACATAATAGGGAGCAATTTTCCTTTTAATGGATCTTACATGCCGTGATTACGGATTTGCTATGGCCCCAAATGGATACCGGATACCTAATGAAAAATAAATAAAATAAAATGAAAAGAGAAAATGTTAGCTTTATAATGTTTTTGATTTGGTTTAATATTATCAATATTATCTGTTTTATCTAAATATATATTTCTTTACATCTTGATTTACTTAATAATTGGAAAAAATTTGACCATCAAGTAAGTTGAATAAGGAAATTCATGTAAGATAAAATTACAAGACAGAAAAATGATTGGTCGAATATTCTTGAAGGAGAAATAAGAAGGTGGTATTATTTTTAAGTTATATCTATTAGTAAATTGAACTGATTATTATATTACTAATAAGAAGAATTTTGTTTTGTATTTGATTGTTGTTTTCAGTTTGCTGAGAAGAATGCAAGGCCAGTGCAACCACATAACGAAAGAGAGATCCATCTTTTACTGCCGAAGAGTTAGAATCTGTCATATTTCAACGTGTGACAAAAGTCTACTCTTTTAGAACTATTTTTTTAATTTATAGAAATAAAGAAAGGATGTAGAAAACAAGATTTTATTTGACGTCTGTACTGAAATTTCATCAGACGATTGATGGAAAAATATTATGATATTAAAGATCACAATCCATGCTAGTACGCAATTGTCCGGAACGCATTGACCCAACTAATCAGGATTCGTGCCGCGTAATGTCCATAAGAAAGAAGCACTTCTACCAAGGATTTCTGCATTCTCAGCGCTCGAACATGAGACTTTCTTGTTGAGGATGAACAAATCCCAACATCTTTCTTGTTTGTTGAGAGTGGAGAAATTGTGGTAGAAAATGCTTCCCCTTTTATGGGCCCTACTTAGCATGAATCCAGATTAGTTGGACCAGTGAATTTCAAATACTTTATTCAAAGATAAATATGGCAAAAACTGTAAAAATTGTGTGGGGTAACCACTTTTTAAAGTGGTATTTACTTTTTATCCAGTATTTTTAATGCTTAGCAATAGTAGCCACTAGTCTATTAAAATTAATATGAAAAGACTGTGTTACCCTTTCTTCTATCTCTTTCATGTGTTACGCACAAGGATGAAATAATTACCCGAGGAATTCTGAAAGCCCCCCAATTCGTGCGAACTTAAATGGTTGAGGACCTTCTCTTTCAAGATCCTGATCCAAATTGTATTTAAATATATGAACTTGTATTCTGGAAAGATGAATATATATTAAAGCAAAAAAAGACATAAGTAAGATTAATTTGAATCCTCTTCTTCAGCAGCTTCTAAACCACCTTGAACCCAGAAAATGTTGTTGTAACCAACATTGTATAGCACCTCACAAGCCGCAATGGACCTGCCTGATGCAAAGGGTTACACATGAGCAATACGGAACACAAATTACCAGATTTGTCATGAACATAAGGATCTTTCGGTGCCTACTCTATCTGTCCGACTATGGACCTATTACGAGTTCAAAAGTTAAGGACACTTGGTGCTGAACTTCGAGTTCCAAGTTCAAAAGTTCAAAAGTTAAGGACAATAGGTCCTGAAGTCCTGAACTTAGACTAACAAGCTCAAATGTTAAGGACAATAGGTTCTGAACTTAGGCTAAGAAGCCCAAAAGTTAAGGACAATAGGTCCTGAACTTAGACTAACAAGCTCAAAAGTTAAGGACACTTGGTCCTGAACTTACAGTTACAAGATCAAAAGTTAAGGACATGTAGTCTCCTGAAGTTAAGTTCAAAAGTTAAGGACATGTAGTCCTGAAATCCTGAACTTAGAGTTCTAAGTTCAAAAGTTAAGGACATGTAGTCCTGAAGTCCTGAACTTAGAATTACAAGTTCAAAAGTTAAGAACATGTAGTCCTGAAGTTAAATTCAAAAGTTAAGGACATGTAGTCCTGAAGTCCTGAACTTAGAGTTCCAAGTTCAAAAGTTAAGGACATGTAGTCCTGAAGTCCTGAACTTAGAGTTACAAGTTCAAAAGTTAAGGACATGTAGTCCTGAAGTCTTTAAGTTAAGTTCAAAAGTTAAGGACATGAGCAGAAGGGTATTTTCGTCCGGGCAGTTAAAGTTTATTAAAGACTAAAGAATTTTAAACAGTGGCCTAAAGTTAATACATATGTTATTAGTGGCTAACCGTGCACTTCCCCCGCAAAAACTCTAGATTGTTGTCTTAAGCTGCACGATCATAGCAAGAGGTGCAGTCATCAAAATACATTATGTTGCTACCTTTACTGCTTAAGCTTTAAACAACTCCAGGACCAGCTTATCTAATCCTGAGCCGAGGGTCTATTGGAAAAAACATCTCTATCTCCATATGGTAGGGGTAAGGTCTGCGTACACACTACCCTCCCTAGAACCCAATATATGGGATTATACTGCGTATGTTATTGTTGTTGTTGTTGACGACCAGCTAATCTAAGTTCGTAAGAAATATCTTTTTGTATGTCCCCTCAGATAATGAAAAAAAGAGATAATATTTGATGAGAAATATCACAGCTAACATTTGAAAGAATAAGCGAAGAATGTCCCACTGCTCCCTGATTGCAAGTAATGACCTGTAAAACTAGTCCGGGAAAAATAAAGGTACAATTATACCAAATGTTGTAGTCGTGGGCGTTGAATTCATCATTCCGCGCTTTCCAAGAGAAATTTTGAAGCAGAATTCTTCTCTTAAGTCTCGAATAAGAACCTCATCGGACCATTTCAGTAATATTAGTGCATGAACTGGTGCCTCCTCTTGTCTGCCGCGTATTATAGGATTTGCAACAAGGACATTTATGTGCCACTATATGGAAGTTAACCTCGGATGTTTCTGCACAGTCATTGCAAAGAATCCAAACCTAAAAAGGAGTCCAAAGAAACCAAATGTAAGATAAGGTGATCAAATTCTTGTTAAAAATTACAATGCGTCGAACAAATTGGTTCTTTACCATCTTGTTCTGATACATTTCAGGCATGGGTGTCGAGGCAACCTAGAATTAGAAATGTGGATAAAGCTCGTCAAGTTTAGAAAAAGATTTGAAAACAATGTCAAATAGCGTAATAACTATGTAGTTTGTACCTCCTCGTCCAGTTTCTCCCAAGCACGGGACATGTCACAATATGATCTTGAGCAAACAGGACAAGAATACCTGCAAGCACAAAATTGTTAGAATTAAGCAGAACGCAGGCCAAAATGGAGGGGTTGATGCATTACGGGATAATTGTGGATTTTCTTTTATAGAGAAACATAACAAGTCAAACTTACTGGAAATGTCGTTCCATCTGCATAACGCATTCCAGATGCATGGTATGACCACAAGGCAAGACTGTGATATTCTTTGTTGTATCAAAAATATACTGCATCAAGTGACAAGAATCAAGAAACATTCATTTCATGCTTATCTTCTTAAATCGTTATGTTTCGGATTCTGCACTTACCTCAAAGCAAACAGGGCAGTTGTGGTGCATTGCTCTTTCTATACAAATATGTGATTCCTTCATCAAATTTGAATAGCAGCATCCTGAAAAAGGGAAGGAAAAGGGTCAAATGTTCCACAATTAATCCACTAATTACAACATAATAAGAGATTTGGCCGATGATTAAGTTCTAAATCAAGGTTGAGCATCTTACTCACCACATCTGTCACAGTGAAAGAAATTCTCCTTGCCACCCGTTCTGTTATCAAAATTTTGCGGAGGAAAATGAAAAATAATATATTAGACACAATGCTGTCACGCTTGAGAGATTCAATGACACGTGAAGACCAACTGATGCAAGTCGATTGATATGGAGTCTGGTGAAGAAAATTGATAATGCAGAGAAAAAACACTTTGCGACCACACACCAGGCCTATGTCTCAGAGGTTATTGCCGTTGTGTTTATACGAATGTGGTAATTTAGGAAAATGCATTAAAGAACTGACAATGATGTACAGCATGAAAAAAGATCTTAACCTGCAGATTCCACATTTATCACAGTGGTATTGATTCTTCGAAACCTAAAGATACAAATCATCTTGTTTAAACATAGTACAAATATTGAGCCAACAACATAATATTATAGTAGAACTATCTAAAGAGACTTACATCATCATCAAAGAAGTTGCATTTTGAGCAAAAGTAATTTCCCATGCAAACCCCACACTGAATGCAGGTTTGTTGAACCTAAAGGACAATCAAGGTCAAAAAAAGGAAATTTTTACCCAAGTTTAACAAATATAAGTACTTGAATTGAATCATTATCAATTGAGGAAACTCACATCCTGTTCAGTATTACACAATGAGCAAACGACCTGAAATACATTTACAAAGCAACATAATAAAATCAGTCAACAATAAAAGGTCTGACAAACAAGAGCACTCACACGATATATAATCAACCCATCAATCAAGTATGCCTCAATCAACAACAACAACAACAGCCCAGTGTAATCCCACAAGTGGGGTCCGGAGAGGGTAGGATGTACGCAGCCTGGAAGGGCAGAGAGACTGTTTCCGATCAAGTATGCCTCAATCCCAAACGAAAGTGACATAGAGAAACTTAAAGGGCAAAGTTCCCTAAGTTTTTTCTCTCTCTATTTGTTCATCATCAGGTAATAAACAAAAGAGCTAGCCGCAGTCAAACGAAGCAAATTCCCAAACAAAAAAAGAAACAAAGATGACCAAACTCATTTCGTGCAACAAAGCTCCATATAATTTGAAAAGTACCTTTGAATGCTAGAAATGAGTCGACCAGAACTTACATGTGACAATAACGACTATACCACAACACGAAGCAAGTTGAGGTCGGCTATATAAATCCTCACTGTCCATGTCACTTCATTTACGCTCATCTCAGTCCAATATTATATAGAATTAAATACTTTCTAAATCACCTACCCTTGTATTCATCTCCCTTTTTTAATGAAAGAGGGGGTACCTATTTTAAGAATCCAAGCATAACTACAGAATCTTTATACAACAGAAGAAGGAATACATTGAAAACTAACCATTTTTATATCATGGCGAGGAATATCGTGGCGTTTGAGTAGATCAACTTCTAAAGAATTCTGATCAAGGATTATTAAAGCTACCATTAATTCTCACATAACAAAAGATAAAATCAAAATTTTAAACTAAATTGGAAAAAAAATTCTACCTTTGAGTCATTATGGCAATGCCTGCAATCAAATATCTCATCACAACAGGGTGCTCTTATTTTGCATCTCCTCTTGTAATGTGAGCACCTATAAGGAAAATAAAAAGATTAACAAAAAATAATGAAAATAAACTTTTGAAATTTTTCATAGAATTAACAAAGTAAAAAAAACAGAGAAACTTACCCATAATTCCCAGAATCCATCTCCTTCCCTTTAATCAATTCTACCTTTTTGGATAAATAAACTGGGTTGTTTTTTTGGATAAGAAGAAGAAACCTTTTTGTAATTAAAATAAAAAAAAAAAATACAAACCCCCACCTATATATAATGTATAGCCCATAGATTTCCATTGTTGTAGTTACTTGCCTTGATCAGTTTTCATTGATGACGAGGCGACACGCTAGCGTTATGCCGGCTGTATTTATTGAATGCAATCAACTTTTTCCTGTTAGCTTTCCCCTTATTTTATTCTATTGTAATGTAATAAAAAACCAACGCTTTCTATATTCTTATTCCAAATTTATTTATTGTATATTTTTAAATACTAACTCTTAAGGTACGCCCCATGCGTGTGAATCCTATCTCAATGAGTATAAATTTATTTAAAAAATAGTATTGAGTTATAATAAAAGTTCGTAAAGATGATCGTAAATATTGATTGTGTATAACTAACTCAATAATTAAAGAAACTTTCTTATAAGTCCTCAAAATTAATAATTCAACTTAAAATTTGTTCCAAGTTTATAATTTCAGAATTTTAATTTCACGGGCAAAAACTTTGAAAATCTAAATAATCTTGAAGGATACAGCTTACGACATATAATCAGGTAACTAATAATCTACTTACTTTAAATAAACACAAAATCAAAGTACAATAATAAACAAAAAATGACATTAAAAAAAAAAAATAAAGCAAGCTAGTAAGAGAATCTACAGTTGAAATCTAGCTAATAAACTCACTCATATTTAGCTAAATGTAACATGGATAAGAAATTAATGAATTTCATAAATTATCTTGTTAATTTTGTGTCTTTTATTGATTTCTGCTCAACATTGCTCGTAATTATAATAGTGCATGTATAACTTTTAGAAATTAAAATTATAATATTGAATAATATTATTAGTGTTTGGATAGGATCGCGCATTGTAGCGAGGCTATGTGGAGATATGACCTTTCGGGGAAGATTCATGTGTTCTATTTCTATGATGTGAGACGGGTTCTCAGCCTTGTGGTTGTGATGGTACTGGTGAGCTTGAGGTTTCGTTTGAGTCATTTTCATGATTTGAGTATGTTTGGACCGTTGCTTATTGGTGCGCGTATTATGCAAGTTGTGGCTTAGACCTATATTGATGTGTCATGTCACCAGAGTGGTGTGTTGGATTAGAGGAGATCGTTGGGATCATTAATGAATACGAACAGATTTGATTTCAGCTTGTTGGAAGGATAATATCGAGGTTCGGCTCGGAAATTGCTATGGAATCTCCAAAAGAGAAGTGGCTTCGTGAATGGTCGATATGAGGAATGGTCGTGGTTTATCGCGTATTTCATCTATCGTTGGCAATATATGAAAGTGTTGGAATGAGACTTTAGTTGATAAGAGGTTTTCTACCAATATTCGGTCGTTGTGGGCAGCTGCTGTGAACAGAAGTTATCGCTACGAGTGTTTGAGTTATGTGGTATATCGTGTGATTGCACCGGGGATTGCAAGTGTGGGTAATTACAGCTTGTTCGGGCTTATTCTGGGTATAGATGTGAGATTCTGATCTTGTGAATGGTTTCGGAAGTGGAAATGTGGTTCTAAGACTTATGGGCTGGATTGGGTTGTGAAATTTCAGTTGCAATGTGTTGTCGGACCTATATGAGATAGGGTGACGTGGGGTCGCCCCGGGGTATATGCATGGTAAGGTTATTCAGCGATTGGTTGGCTTTTGGAACAACTCTGGGCACGTTCGAGGACGAACGTTTGTTTAAGTTGGGGAGGATGTGACGACTCGGCCAGTCGTCTCATGAGTTACCGCTCCGTTTCCCCCATTTCTGCTTCTTTATGCTTCGTTATCCGTGTTTTATGTGATCAAGTTGATTAGTTTGTGTTCAGAGTAGATTTGGTAAGAAATGAGACACTTAGTCTCTTTTAAGAAAGCTTAAGTTGGAAAAGTCAACCAGATGTTGACTTATGTGTTAGAGGGCTCGGATGTGAGTTCTGATGGTTCAGTTAGCTTCGGGGGTTGATTTATGACTTAGGAGTTTGATCGGAAGTGGTTTTGGGGGTCCGATGTAAAATTAGGCTTGAATTGGCAAAGTTAGTATTTTGGCGATTTCCGGTTGGTAGGTGAGATTTTGATCCGAGGGTTGGAATGGAATTCCGAGAGTTGTTGTAGCTTCGTTATGTTATTTGGGATGTGTGTGCAAAATTTCAGGTCATTCGGACGTGGTTTGGTTGGGTTTTTGATCAAAAGCGTGTTTCGGAAGTTTTTAGAAAACTTAGGCTTGAATTCGATGTGAATTGGTGGGTTTGGTGTTGTTTGAGGTATTTTGATGATTGGAATAAGTTTGAATGAGGTTTTAGGATGTGCTGGTGCTTTTGGTTGAGGTCCCGGGGGCCTCGGGTGAGTTTCGGGTGGTCATTCAGATCATTTTGGAGTTAAGAAGATAGCAGAAATTGCAGGTTCAGATGTTGCAGAGATTTCTTCTCTGCGATCGCGTAGGGAATCCTGCGATCGCATAGATCTTTTGTGGGGCAGTCCATTTTTGTGCTATGCGATCACATAGTGTGGTGAAATTGTTGAATCGCGAACGCGTAGTGAAGGTCGCGTTCGCATAGAGTAAATTGGACCTGGGTCTTAGTTGGAATTTGTTCATTGCGAACACGGAGGGTTGTCCGCGATCGCATAGAAGTAATAAGGCAGAGCATTGCGTTCGCAGGGATGTTATTGCGTTGGCATAGGGTTAATTTTGGGAGCTGAGTTTTTGTGCTTCGCGATCGCGAAGGTTTTCCCGCGATCGCATAAAAGAAAATTAGACCTGAGCAGAATGTTTTAAAACATTTCATCCGCGATTTTGGGGCTCATTTACTCCATTATTGATCTTTTTGATAGCTTTTTGAAGGGAATTGAAGAGGGATTCAAGGAGAATCGATTGGAGGTAAGATTTTTGAACCTAAAACGTGATTCTATTGTGAAATCAACCTAGAAAATCATGGAACTTAAGTTAAAAATGGAAGGACTAGGGCTTGGGATTTTGAACTTTTGAATTGGGATTTGAAGGACCATTTGAAGTCGGATTTGAGAACTTTTGGTATGTATGAACTCGCGAGGAGATAAGGAACTCGTTGATGTAAAAATTTCTGAGTTTCGAGAAGTGGGCCCGGGGCTCGGGTTTTGCTAATTTTGGGACTTTTGATATTTTTCGAGTGTTTTCGCTTGGGCTTTGTTCCCTTAGCATATTGTGACGTATTCGTTCTGATTTTGGATAGATTCGACGCGCGTGGAGACCGATTCGAGGGGCAAGGGCGTCGCGAGCTAGAGATTTCGCCGTTTTGAGGTGAGTAATGATTGTAGATGATATTCTGAGGGTTTGGAACCCCGGATTGCACATCGTAGTGCTATGTTGAGGTGACCTGCACGCCGAATAGCGAGCGTGGGGTAGAGCACCATTGGGGATTGTGATTTGGTCCATCCCGATTGATGAATTTACCGCGTATTTGACTGAAATTTACTTGTTATCATCATGATTTGGGCTGATTGCCATATTTGGGCTTCGTGCCAACTATTTGAACCCTTTGGGGATTATTATCACTGCTTCCTCACTGTTTTGACTTATTACTTGAACTCAGTCATGCTGTTTTCCACTGTTTTACAACTCAGCCACTTTTACTCAGTTTTGAGACTTAAATGATATTTTAAATGATGTTTTGGGCTGAGAACTACTGTTTTACTAATGCCCGAGGGGCTTGTGATGATTTTCTGACTGAGTGTGGCCGAGGGCCAGATGTGAGGATAAACTGAGTGATATGAGGCCGAGGGCCTGAGATACATTTATACGCCACGAGGTGGCTTGAGTGATGTGAGGTCGAGTGCCGAGAGATGATGCCACGAGGTGGCTTGATATAACGCTTGGGCCGTAAGGGGCCCCTCCGGAGTCTGCACACCCACAGTGAGCGTGGGTACCCATTGTTCTGAGAGTGAGCCCGAGGGGCTGAGATTATTCTGAGAGTGAGCCCGAGGGGCTGAGAGTGTTCTGAGAGTGAGCCCGAGGGGCTGGAGGAAAGACCATTCAAGCTTGTCAAAAGCTTTTTCTAAATCTAATTTGAGTAACTGTCACGACCCAAACCCAGACCCGGTCGTGATGGCGCATCTCTTGGGGACAAGGCCAGCCAACTAAGTCCAATTCATCTTCTTAAAACAGTTAAACAGTTCATAAGCAGTTTAGATATGTTTTAATGATAATAATTAGCGGAAGTACAACCCGACACGGCCCAAATCGGGGTGTCACAAGTCACGAGCATCTCATTTTTTACCTGTTATACTGTGATATTTGTGCGCGAGGGGCGGATTTTCGGTGTTTATCGACACTAACTGTTTTGCATTAATTGCGTAACTGTTGAAAAGTCATTTTCAAAAGAGTTTAAACTGAGCTAAGATATTTCTAAAGATCTCACAGCTTCACTGCTTTTCTCAAAGGGTTTTACACTGCCTCTATACAGCAAGTTGGGTTGCTTTACGTGATTTCTTACTGCTCAGTTGTTATTTACCTTTATTACTCACTGAGTTGGAGTACTCACTTTACTCCCTGCATCGTGTGTGCAGATGCAGGTATTTTTTGCACCCGATAGCGGTTTTTGACTGATCGGAGGCAGAGTTATCGGAGTTAGCAAGGTGACTGCCAGCGTTCGCAGCACCGCTTTTCTCCCTTTTTGTTTATCAGTCCTGTTTCATATATTTCAGACCTTGTAGTTGTATTTATACTCTAATACAATACTTCAACCTCCCACATAACCTAATTTCCCTAATGATGTCTTGTGTTACCACTTCCACCATATCTATACTTATCAACGGATCCCCAACTCAATTATTTTAGCCAACTAGGGGAATACGTCAAGGTGACCCCTTATCACCATATTTGTTCATCATGTGTTTAGAACGACTATCTAGGAATATATTCCAATCTGTCGATTACTTAACATGGAAACCCACAAAAATTTCCAAAGATGGACCCCAACTGTCACATCTTTTCTTTACGGACGACATTATACTACTATCTACAGTGCAAACTAAGAGTTGCACCACAATTATAGACACACTCAACACATTCACTAAGCTCTCAGGACAAACACTCAATTTCCACAAATCAAAAATTTTCTTTTCTGGAAACTGTAGCACCCAAGAAAAATAAAATATACTTGCAAGCTTTAATATGCGTGAGGGTACTTA